TTTCTTTCTTTCTTTCCTTGCTTTCTTTTAATTGACCATGCTATACTTCTAGGTTGGATCAATCCCTTAAAACTCTGTATGTGTTCTTAAAAGGCACCTCTGAGACTGAATAACTCGCAATTTTGTGATAGTGAGGGGCAACAGAGCATCGCATGGTTTTAATTACACTCTCCACTAACTGCATGTAAAATTCCCTGTGTCAAACAACTCCAAGCCAGCCATCCCTCTAAAGAAATCAGTTTCTTCTTATGTAAACACATGATTCTGGAAGGAATGGTTATAATCCAGCCACACATTTTAAAATCCTGTTTTCCTTTCACAGCACAAATACTCTGGGTTGCTGCTCTTTAAAAAAATCACTGCAGCAGCTCTGGAGCTCGGAGGGTATTTCCACATTGAGGGCTGCACTGGTCCCACTTACGCCAGCACAAGTCAGAACAAACTCTGCTTAAATCAGCAAAGAATTCTCATTTTAGCCTTAATTGCTGCACCATACTTGTTCTCGTCCAATTTAGCTGATACAAGCCTGAAATGTAAATCCAAATACCTAAAAAGCATAATTGTGAAAAATCAGTGTTTTGCTGTGATCTCTCACAGCCACGTTGAGATAACAAGACGACGGCAGCTGCGAGCAACCAGGGTCACAGAGGATGGTGGTGGTGGTGAGTAAAATTTTAAATTAAAAAAAAATAAAAAAAAAATATCAACCCACAGATGGAGAATAAGAAATAATTTCAGAAGTTTTATCTGAAAGGGTCCTGCCACTGTGTGCAAGGCAGACCCCGCTGCAGCAGATGTGTCCCAGGACACTGCTCTTTACCCAGAGGAGCATCAGGAACAGGTTTTTCTGGAACAGGTTTTCCTTCCCATCACTTCTGGCAACGCTCACACCTGCCTCGTGGTGAGCGCGGCTGCATCACAGGGACTGTCCTGTCTCATAAAAGCAGCAATTTATCCACAGAAATGTTAAGAATTGATAAAACAGGCATTCCTCCACGCTATTTGTTACGTTCCTTCCACTGCAGACATAAGGCCAAACTCTGCCTTTCCTTACACCAGGATAAACTCCGAGCTCAGTACAACCAGTATTTTTCCTGAAGGAAAATAAGGATGTTTTCTGAAAAATTCACTGAAAAAAGTTATCGTTTCCTCCCTCTCCTCCCCCAGACTCTCCACCCAAACAGCATTTTGCATCTGTAACCACAGTCACGCAGATGAAGCAGCTCCTACTCCCCAGCACAGCAAGGTCCTCAACAAAGGGGGAATTTTTGAGAGGAACACAGCAACGATGATATAATGAAAACCTTTTCTTGTTTTTTTACCAACTCTAGTGATAAACGTTAGGTGCACAAGATAAGGAATAGGAACATGACAACATTTTAGCAAATAAAGTAATTTTTCTAGTAATTTTTCTTTTCTAAAGTAATTTTTCTACCATAAATCAAGCAACCACAATGAGCTGCACAAATAATTATTATGCTCTGTTACCGAAGCCTCAATTCCTGTCCTGCTTCACTGCAGTTCCCAGAACACACGACGTTCTTCTGGTCCCCTTCACTAAGTGACATCTGGCACACTCTTCTTCACAGTTGAACTTGCCTAGTTTGGAAAATGTGTGTCATTTTGTGCTCACTCTGCTGTCCCCACCTGGGCTTTTTCACTATCTTCAAAGAGACTTTCCAAAAACCAAGTAAGTGCTGAGAGGTTTCTGCCACCAGCTGAAGTTTGGATGTTTCTTACAGCCTTGCTGTAAAATAAGTGAACATATCGGGGTTCCTTTCCTTTTTCATTTTTAACTCTCGCCAGGATACCAATTAATTGTTTCTCAAATGACCTCAATGTTTTGGCTCCAACTCCCCAAGTCTGTCTCCAGGGCTATCCTTCATGGTTATGAGTTTTCGGACATCTGTGTTAAATTTTATCACAGAATTACTATTTCTTTGTGCCCTCTTGACCTATTTCAGTATACACAATGCTAATTATAAGTCTCTCCCTAATTAAAAGTGACTACCACCATATATTTAAATAACACTTATATTCTTACTGTGACAAATGCAGCAATGCTCCCAATGCTTTAACCTTAGGATACGCATTTAAAAGAAGGTGAGTGAGCAGAACATCTTTTTATACAAGTTTGAGAGTTTTTTTCCAGACGTTTTTGGCAAACATTTATCAGGGAGCTACGCCAGACATCGTTCTCATCAGCTCCAGTGGTTATCTTTAGAATAAATTCAGTGATAATTGCGTAGCATGACTTCACTGATTTATTTTTAACTTATCTGAGACATGGCTTTCTTCTTAAAGTCTTAAAACTTGAACAGCTTCTTTATTCTTCAGTGCCAAATGATGCAATTTCTTGTATGATGTTCAGAGGTCATTCTGCCAAGCTGGTGCCCGCAGCGCCCACACAGCTCTTACTGCCACCCTTTAATTACAGATTTCTGCTTTAGTGTCAATCATCCTTACGCTTGCATTTGAAATGCATACCTCAAGTTACTTCTACAAGCAGGGATGCTGCCTATCAGGTGTCTGTAAACTATTTTGTATGCTTACCTGACCCTATAATAACACAATCCAATGGTTGAGTGAGTATATACTGGAGTGATACAGGAGGGATACCAAGATCAATACGAAAATGGCAATGTAGCAACTTATGGGAACTGTGGTACGTCTTACTTTTGGCTGATTGTTCATTCATCACGACTTGAATATATTTAATATAAATTTACACCGTTTCACATGCTCATGGGGATGGTTGTGGCTTTATTATGCAAAAACTAGCTTTACCTGGCTCCTGATGCATTGTCGTTCTCGAGCTGTCGGACAAGGAGCTTGGCTATGGCAGTGAAACTGTTGCTCATGCGGTAGATATCTCTGCTCTGGGTACCCAAAATGCTCGAGAAGGTGTCAGTGAGATTCTTAATTTCCAGCAAAAGAATGTGGTGAAATGAGTGCTCCATGTTGGCCAGCTGGTTCACCAAATACATCAGGCATATTCTGGCTTGCTCCTAGATAACACGAGGAGATAAGAACAATTTTAAACAAATACATTTGTTGTTTGCTTGTGCAAGGCAGATGTGTGAGCATGCTGCTGATTAAAACATTGTCTTTGGGGAATAGTGGCTACCCCACAAAAACAAACAAAAAGGCAACTGCATCAAATGCAGAGTTTATTTTTGTGTACTGTTGGTGTTACGTTTCTTCCTCTTGGTATTACCTAACACAGTGTAACTTCAGTACACCTTGTCTCCTCCTCAAACCTACAGTCAAGAGTGCCTAAAGCCTCTCTGAAGGGCCCTGCTTTGCTCCAAGGTGGTGGATCAGCCTGGCTCAGTGATCAGCACACCAGCAGTAGACCCAGCTCCTGCTTCATCTTTGATGAGCCTTACCAGCCTGGCCATACTACTTCACCTCCCTATACTGTTTCTGTGCCCTTTTTTTGCTTTATTCTGTGCTGTTTGTGTCAGGCAAACTCTCTTGCAAGAGGTCAAGCATTTGTGCACACTGTTCCAGTTCACAGGGTCTTCTCCCCCAAGATCTTTCTCCTTGTGTCCGTACGCGACCTGTTGCACACGGAGCCCGCAGAGGCGTTAGGATGGACACAAACGTGTGATAAGCTGCCAGCAGACCTCAGCTCTGCAGACCCTGCGGCTCAGGTCTGCACTGGTTTGTGGCACTGCACGACCCATGACCGAGCAGTTTTGCATCTTTGTTACAGCCTCACTGTATTAATGGTCTAACGTCCAGATTTTGGCTTTGTCCGTGTTACTCTCCACTCCACAACTGCAAACAACCGAGGGTCACCAGGCAATTGCAGTGAATTCTGTGTATGCCATTAGCTGTTACAAACACTTCGCCAGGAGTGAAGATCTATTTTTCAGACCAGAAGATGTTTCCCAGTCACGACATCCCCTCTGGACCCGTTGGGTGTTGCTGATTTGCTATATTTAGCAGAATCACTGAAGAGCCTGTCGTCACCAGTGCTACCCAGACTGAGCGGGGCTCCTCCAGCACAGCGTCGGCAGAGGAGCGAGGTGCAGCGGGTGGGAGCGGGGGGCACTATCAGCACCTCTTCTTGCTAATGGTGAGAGGTTAAAGTACCTCGTAAATCACAGGGGTTCTCCCCTTTCATATCAATTCATTTAGGAGCAACACGCAGATTAGACTCCGAGTAACGCCGCAACAAAGAGAAGCCTAAAATGAGATTTCGGTTTCAGACCCCATCACACGCGATAAGGCGCCGCCTGGCAGCTGTATCGATCACTGCCAACACACTGAAGTTTGAGATGCCCTCTGTAGCCAAAGTTTTGCTAGCCGATTGTTCAGGGGGATGCGATCTCGCCAATCTACCAGTGAGATCGCATTCCCCACAAATTAGGATTAAAGGGGGCTTTTTCGGATCATAACATTAAACATGCAAATGTTTTCTGGCAAAGATAGTTTATCATCTCCGCTTGGCAAGGGCACGCAATTCCAGCTCCAACTGTTTCTGTGTGTACGTGTACAAATTCACATACAAAACAGAAACCCCAAAGGTGAAGAAACACATTAAGGTTCCTCTGTTTTGTTATAATTGTCTTAAACGTATCAGGTTCCACAGTCCTAAAAATATCTAAGTGGGAAAAGCAGCAGCGAAAGTGGCAATTAACAGAGGAGCTCATATCAGATCCTCCACTGGGGTGAGCGGGTACGGCTCCGCTCAGTGATTGTTACAGAAATTGGGAGATATTTTGCTTTTAGAGCCTGTGCTGAAATGCAACGAAGGCAAAAAATAAGAAATTCTCCTCTTCCCAAGGGTTAGCAGAAAAGGAGGGGCAGTCGTGTGCCATACACACACTCCAAACACTGCGGGGCAATCGCGTTATTACCTCCTCTCTTCTGGGATCTCATAACAGGAGGGAAAAAATTGCTGAAAGTTTGATTCCAAATACAGCCGAGCCATAAAAAAAAACACACGGGGGACTTTGGCAGAACGTGGCCGAGCATCACAAGCACGACACTTTTTGAAGAAAAAGTCAACTTATTTCAAACAAAAGAGGATCTGCTACGCCGTGCCATGACAGAGATAAATGAGAAAAGCCCGTCAGACAAATTGCTTCCCTTCAGCCACACGGGGAAAAAAAACTACAGCTACGTCCTCGGCTGGGCTGGGGTGACAGAATGAGCTTTTTTCTCAATGGCTTGAAAGAGGTTGACTTTTTGGTACATTTTCACTAGTTTATTTGGAAGATGATCCTCCCTCCAAGAGATAAACACAGGCTCAATTAACATTTAAAACACATTTTTGTTTCCTAAACAAACTGCGCAGCAGACGTAACTGGAAGAGAAGTTTTGACCGTTTTCATGTCACTTTGATCCAGCTGGAGTGTCTCCAGCCATGCTGAAGTGCTGCTACTCGCCTGGAGTGAGGTAAAAGAACAATAAACTCTACTGAGTAATATAATATGTAACTGTTACACCAAACAAAATTACAGCAAAATAGCTCAACATGAAAGCAGTCATTATCCCTGCCGCAATTTTTATCCAAAAATTTTCAGAAAGCCTGTTTGGATGTACACTACCCATTGTTACTTTAACAATGCGTATTTTATGTGTTCATGTGTTTTTTTCATAAGCATCCCTTGAATTTTATGGCATTACATCTGCCAGTAGGTGAAGATCTAAAATACAAGCAATGAGGTGTGGCAAAGTATTTTGCTTTATCTTAAAATCAGGCTCAGGAGAGTACAAAAAGAGATCATAAGGCTTTCAGAAGTAACTCTGGTTTCTAGTTGGTTCAAAACATACAGTTATTGGGAAAAAAAAAAAATTAAAACGTTCAGTTGACCCATGCTCCAAGATGGTGTTTTGCTTCGCACAAATTTACGGTTAAGGGACAAGTTCTGATTTCAACTTCACCCATGAGACTGCCACTGACATCAACAGCGGTGGTGTGTCTAAACAAGGGGGCAACCTTTGAAATAAAGGGATCTCTCTTCAGCCAAACCTCTCATCTCTCCAGGGGTCGGTCTGAACTGCCAAGGTGGAGCGAGCCGCTCAGTGAAAGCACAAGAGGTTGCTTCTAGAAGTCAGAGGAAAGGATTTTCTGCATGTATCTGCAATCTATAGCATGAATCTATAGCCTCAGTCCTCGCCACCTCTTTTCCTCCCAGTGAAATAAAATATCAATAAATAAAATTCCAACAGTACCGTTGTCCTTTCACTTCCCACTTGTTTTGCTTGGCGGGGAAGGGGACGCTGATGCTGATTCACATCTATAAGCAAGAACTAGCAGCATATCTGTAACACGGCTCCGTTACAGGAAAAGGAAGGGGGGAGAGGTGACAACAGGGCTTTTCAGGAAGGCATTGCCACGGTGGGCTGCGAGACGAGACCATCAGCAGTGTGTGTGTCTGCAGGGACCGTTTCGCCGCTTGCACATTCCTACTTGGACCTGACCTAAACAAATTCACTGGCTGCAGTAATGCTTAACTTAACAGTTACGCTTAGATCAGAGTATTATTTTAATTCTTTCTTGTGGGTCCACTCATCGTTATATATGGAGCCTTCAAGATCTGTCCAGCTTTTACAATGCCAGATGTGCTTCTGTTTATTTTATGGCAGGCTGACTGTCTGCGTCGCAGTGAGCGATGCCCCATACATCAGGGAAAATCCATGGCATTTTTTTTTTTCCTTTTGAGAAGCCTGGTCTGCACGGGAACATCCAGAGACACGACCCATCTCTTGGTTCACAATAGGGTGGGGGTAAAATCTGCACAAGGAACTGCAGGAGTAAAGCAAACAAATCCTTGACAAGGGAAAAAATTTTTTACCATGAGAGTTGTAGAACACTGGAACAGGTTGCCCAGAGAGGTGGTGGATGCTCCATCCCTGGAGACGTTCAAGGCCAGGTTGGATGAGGCCCTGAGCAACCTGATCTAGTTGGAGATATCCCTGTTCCTTGCAGGGGGGTTGGACTAGATGGCCTTTGAAGGTCCCTTCCCGCCCTAATGATTCAATCTGCACAAGGAACTGCAGGAGTAAAGCAAACAAATCCTTGACAAGGGAAAAGGAGGACTGTGAGAGATCCACTGTGTTACTAAACACCAGGACCCTTTGGTCACCACGTCTGGTGATGCAACCCTAGGCAATTGTGGACCAATGAATGTCCCACCAAAGCAGCTCCTCGTACACCCACAAAACTGTGGGCCACAAAGCACTCTAATTCCTTGAAATAAAATATAAAATCCTTGGAGTAGAGACAAAACTCACAAGTAGAAGGAGAGAGAAAGACCATCGGTTACAACGTCTGCGAAGGAAGAGGGAACTTACTATGTGAAATGGCCCAGGAGACGTGGACCAGCAGACCGCATCCCACATCACAAAAGAGACAAAAGCCCCATGAAACAAAAGCATTCCACAAGGAGAAAACGAGAACATTTAAGCCCCCCCAGCAACTCTAGCATAAGTTTTCACCCCAAATTGCGACTCGCCTTGGCTCCAGCTGCAATGCCCAGCCATCACCCAAGCACGTTTTAAGGCTCTTTCTGCACCATTTATGCCAAAAGGAGTAACCAAACTGGCAGCATGGCCCTGCCAGAAGCACATCCAAACCCTCCAAGGGCACTAGTGACACAGACGTAGTGCTCCCCATCGAGGAAAGGCAGAAGGCACCAAGTCTTGTGGCAGAGGCCACTGCCAGACTGCTCCTGGGCAGGGCTGGGGCACTGCAGACAGTGCTGAGACCTACCTGCTCCTCAGGCTGCCCCAAAGCTCCTCTATATTGTGCTTGGACCTCTCCTCACCTAGAAAGCTTGCCTTCATTTTCCCACCAAGATGTTTTCCCTGGCTGAAGGCACACTATTGAGAGCCTCTTTCTGCCAGCCCGGCTCCTCTGCCCAGCACAAAGGAGACAGGACAGAGCGGGGACAACCTCTGGAGAAGATCCAGTGGTGAGGTTTCACAGGATGTGTAACCTGTGTCCAGGTGACAGCGTTGTGCCTGGCATGGATGTCAGGAGCCTCATGGACTGATACAGCTCAGAGGTGACTGCAGAAACCAAATCAAGTCACTGGGGCACTGGTAACTACTTAGACATTTCAATCAGGGCAGATCTTCCATAATTCAGAATTATTCATTCACTATCTTTTTAGAAAGCAAAACGAGAGAAGAGCCATTCATCTCGCTTTGGAGAGTTCACCTCTGCCAGCTTTTGAGTGTTGCTTTTATTGATGTTTTTGAGTATCCAGGGCAAGGTCTCCTGGATGTCACTAAAACAGAGCCAACTACAAACAAAAAAAAGTGTGCCATCCCTGCAAACACGCAGCGCTCGTGGCGGCAGAGTGGGCTGGAACGCAGCCGGCTGGACATAATGCCAGTTACTCAACACTTACAAAAGATGGGAAATTATTCAATGCAGCCTTGCCCAGGCTGCCTGTGTAGCTACATGCATCTGCACAAACCAATAGATTAAAAAAATACATGGAGAAAACTGTAGTCTATGATTTCCAACAATACATGAAATACAACGTGTCCACTTGGTTCCTTGCTTATTCTCAGTACTGGCATAAAACAATAACAACAACAAAGGCAAAATAAATTCAGTGTCTTTTAAGTAGCAGAACACAGCAGAAAAGGGGCTTCAGAGACACTCACACGAGAAGAGCTGGTTCAACATGCTAAAATACAGAATCTGAATTAGATCCTTAAATTCTGATGCCAGCTGTGCCCATTTGAAGATTAGCTAGTCATAAGCTGCAAAACTTCTAGATGACGTTGACTTTTAAGTACTAAATGCAGAAATAAATGTGGTCAGCTCCAGTTCTTATAAAGGTAAATTTTGCTGGGGGAATGTAAATAAACAAGGAGAGAACAACAAACTTGCTCTGCCCCTCTGCTCCTGACCCGCGCAGCTTCTCCCTGCCTGACACCAGGCTCCCCTGCTCCACAATATCCCTTTAAATTAGTGCAACTGTCTCATCCAAGAGTATTCTGATCATTAAAATGGGTGTGCCAAGGAGAATTTCCCCTTTAACTTCCCTGCATTTCTCACATGTCTTGTTTTACATAACAGGGCACAACGCACCCTGATGCCTTGTGATGGGTTTGCCCGACGTGCCTACACCGGAGTAGGTGACACGCTTCGAGCTGCACTGCCAGACCTTTGTCATCAGGCAGAGTCGTTGCCCAACGGTTGCCAGCTGCCGTACGGCACGCAGAGCCTAACCCCCAACACCACCCACGTTCGAGATTTAAGGGACCAACTTTGGTTGGAGGCCAAAAGAAACTCTCTTCTCTGGAGATTCTCCAATGACCACTGTCATTCATCAGAGTGCATCGTTATCTGTGTCTAAACAAGCAAAGAGAAGAACTGTCATCTTAAAGGCAGAAGATGACTACGTGGAGGATTTTTCCCCTGCACAGCAGAACGATGCCACTTTTCAACCCTCCTCCCTCCAGCGGAGTCAAAGGAAGGACAACCAATAGGTCCGATTCAGAAAGGTAAAACCTATCGTGAAACCTCCAGCCTTTATGCAGGCAAACTCCAATAGACTTAGTGCAAGTTTTCCCTCAAGGAAAAACCGTGTCCTGAAAGGACACAGAAACTGTGGGATTCAGCTCTTCACTGAAATAAATCATCCAGGTTACTGCATGGCAGGCATCAGTGCCACACTTCAGCAAATGGTTAGATTTATTACATGCCATTCATTTGCTGCCATACAACTGAGTTTTGTCACAGTCACAGAAATCTGAATTATTTACCAGAAACTCTCTGAACTCAGCAGAACGTTATTTTTGCCTTTACAGAACCATGATTTGAGGTGGAAGGAAAACGTCTGTTAGCAGTGGTGAAAGACACGTAAACTTATACCCAGGAACGAAAATAAAGTCTCCTTAAAAATCATCATGTGTTTTACCATGAGAGTGGTAGAACACTGGAACAGGTTGCCCAGAGAGGTGGTGGATGCTCCATCCCTGGAGACATTCAAGGCCAGGTTGGACGAGGCCCTGAGCAACCTGATCTAGTTGGAGATATCCCTGTTCCTTGCAGGGGGGTTGGACTAGATGACCTTTGAAGGTCCCTTCCAGCCCTAACCATTCTATGATTCTATGATAAATAAGTCTAATCAGTTTGGTGCCCTCAGGACATACGAGGTCTTGAGCAATCAGGTAGTTTACAAGCTCATGGTGGTAATCTCCTCCAGGCTGTATTTTTAGGAGCAGGGGATAGCAGCAGGCAAGATGGGTCTGGTTGGGCTCTACGGCATTTCCCAGTCCCAGCAGGACGAGGCTAACATCTGATCCCCATGAGCAGCATCCCTCGCTGCTGGGGATGCAGGGATCTTTGAGCTGCTCCTTGGAGCTGGTATTTTGGGGAGGGCAGAGGCCTCTGGGACCTCAGAGCTGCCCGATGGTTTCTGTACACACATTGTGTTGATGGCACCTGGATGAAGTGAACACCGCTCCTGCATCCAGACTGCGCAGCTGGGACTAAAACAAAAACTTCAGTGCAAATTCATTATGCTGCCATGAAACTCCCATAATTTTTTTAGGAGTTTGTCAGTGTAAATCTTTTTTAGGCATAATATTTCCATTGGGTCAGATCCCAAAGCAAGTGAACTGTGAAGATGTCCCTGTGATGAGGCTTGAGCCCAGCATCACCACTGAGCATTTTCATTATAAAGACATTTGTCAGAAGTATCCAATTAGCTATGGCTACAAAGCCAAAATATCTGGATCCCACTACACAAGGAAGTTCATATTTCACTGCATGATTACAACATTCCTGAAGGCTATATGCATCTAAAATATGATATCATACAGAGAGGGTGCAAAATATTTTTTTTCCTTTCCTCAGCCATGTGCCTATAAGTGAAAGGAAAGGCAATTTAATTTAGCTAAGCCCCCGGAATAACGACAATTCTGTGCTATTTTCAAACAGAAATTTTAACCATTCTATAAAAAGACAATTCATATAGACAGAACACATGTGCACAGGCCAGATATACAGTTATAAATAAGTCCATATATTTATCTTTATAGCTATGATAATTTAAATATTTATCTTTTTCATGCTCTTTAATCTCTTTCAGAAAGTTTCTTTCTTTCCTGCTAACCTAGACCCCCCTTCTGCAGAGACCCTTTACTAGGCGACCGTTCCTTGGTTAGAAGGTCCAGGGGCAGTCTCGGTGACTGAAATACCACATCTGATTTCCGTGGTACTTGCTCTCCTGGCCATACTGGTGTTACAGTCATGGTCTTACCACCAGAAATATGTTCTGGTAAGGCAGTCTGGTTAGTCATGAAGAAAGGAATACTTAGATCTATTACTTTATACAAGGTTTAGAAAAAAAATCCCAAACAATCCAACCTCCAAACCAACCAACCAACTCCTGTTGTTTTTAAACTTACCTCGTCGATGTGTCCAACAGCTCCAAAGATCTTTGCTGTTTGCCCGATCAGACTTGGAAAACTCTCACCAATTTCCTTCAGCAGTGGAAGAAAAGTGGCTAAGGCTGTTGGTTCATAGCTGGATACTTCTAGAAGTATGTTCAGAATAAGGTCACTATGGCTAGGGGCTCCCAAGTGTCCAAACAGAATCTTTCAGCACCTATTCAAAAATCAGAAGCAAATTGTGAACTTATTTTTTTAATTGTGAACACATACAGCCAAAAGAGGCACTGTACATTGGAGTGATAAAAATAAAACACTAGACTTTGACTTAGTAAAGTCGTTTTCCACCCTTGCTGACCTTTGCACAGAGCTCTTGCTGAGGTCAATTGAAGTTCAGCTTAACATATGGAATAAGAGTAAGCTGTAGCCTTGAAATATTGCAGTTATGCATATGTAAGTAAGGAAATGCCCAATTGTAAAAAAGACACACACACAAAAATAAAACCCTCACTAAATATATTCCCTTGCTCTGGGCCAGTCCTGTACTTTTTTTATTAAAACAACATAGGATTTAGCCTTCCCCAATGATACAGTAAATTGAAGTACTAGTAGAAATTTTTGGTTTCCACCAGAAACTAAATAACGTGCAAGGTTATAGCTGGAACAGAGGGAAAAAATAAGAGACAATCCTTGTTGTACAAAAAAAAAAAACAACGCTGTAGGCAAGTTGTCATTTTTTGTAACAACACAATTTGCAAAAGGTTGAGGGTGTAGTCTTTAAAATCCTCTTACAAACAGGACACAGTGTGTACAGCTATCTACTGAATGATCATTTGTCATATAAACACACAGGCACACTAATACACCTCTGATTTAATGAAATTGTTGCATCTGTGTTAAAATACATTTCAACACAGAAATGGGGCATAAAGTGACCCTTTCTCCTGTTACGATTTTGAGCATCATCAGTTTTAGCAAGTTGGTATCTATTGCTCTGGCAAAATACTGCAGGTGGGTGGCTGAATAAACTGTTAGTATTAAAAATTACAGTAATAGCAATATTGATAATATCGAGCAACCTCAGACGTGTGGGGTCCCAGCGCGGAGCCCCGCGACAGCCAGCGGTGCACCCCAGCCCCCTCCAGCCAACAAGCCCCTTGCTTCCAAAACCAGCTCTAGTTCATCTAGCACTGTGTGTTATGATAAAGATTCCTAGGCTACCTGGGGGAAGATACTACCTGCTATTGATTCTTCTTTTCTAAAGATTTTACCAATTTCATCATTTCACAGAGCAGGTAGTTTTGTGCCTTGTTCTAACGCGCTGGATGCTGTCAATGATGTGCAATTTTCAAGGCATGATATGTTTTGCCTTAATTAATCTCCAGCTCGCTCCTAATCAATTCCTAACTCATTTCAGTTTTCCTTGATATGTAATTTAATACACTTCGTATATTCTACCAGAAACATAGTTATGGGAATTCATACTCAGCTGATAGAGCAAAAGCCAAAAAAGTTGAGAACAATTCTGGCTTAACACAAATGTCTTGGTTCAGCA